GTTTGTATCATCGTATGCAATATGAGTTAATACCGCTAAAACTTTCCAGCGTTTAAATAACAATAGAAAACACATAATTAAGCATGAAAAAGAAGGTAATATGATGAGATTAATTAACGAATATCAGTATAGTTCGACGTACCGCAACTGAGCCGGTATCATCTAATATACCGGAAGAGCCAGAGGCATGGTTGACGCCATGAACAATTTTACTTCCCTTGGTTGAAGGGTCTTTAGAAGGTGGGATGAAGGAAGGAAGCTTGAGTTGGTCACCAAGAAGGTCAACGACATTTTTGCCATTTGTGAATCTCCCAGAAGGTCCGTTCGGGAAATCAATACCATATGGCAAATAATCGGCTTTAGCCCTGCTTTCAAAGAAGTTATTGTTGCCATTGTCGACCAGGGAGCTTCCAAACACAAACATGCCTCTGGTCGCAGCTCCATCTTCTGCGAAGTTACAAATGGAAATGGATAGAGGCAGACAAACAAACAAAGAGAGATACAATAACACAACTTGTTTGGAAGGTTGTTTTAGAGAGTGGTATTGCATGGTGGGTGGTTTCTGTGGTGTTTTTCTTCTGTTGGAGGGAAAGAAACAGGGATGTATGAACTGGTATTTATATGAGTAGTAAAGGCTTTCACCTTTAACACACCTTTTCTTTTCCTTCCACTTGCAGCCCTTTCATTATTGTTTAGACTTTATGTGCGACAGGTTTTGTGAAATTTGATGCAAATTATTTTGTTTCTCAAGTTTTGTTTTAATATCAAAGTTGTTTCAATAGAAAGGACACTCCTTGTCTTCTTACAAACAAATTACAGTTCAACACATATGCAAAATTGACTTATTAAAACTTACAAAAAGAAAAATTTGTGTACACATGTCAAACTGTAACTTGTTTAGGAATACATACAAGGAGCTAATTATTTTTCTTTTGAACTGGCCATATATTTTGAGATTTGCTAGGTCCAAATTTTTTTTGTTATTTATTTATCAAACCTCAAGTTTTTTTTCTTTTTGATATTGCGATATTCTAAAACCACTGTAAACCAACTAGCATAACATTCTTGGTTTGTTCTCACGCTATATATATGCTTTCTAAGAGCACTTCCACCTCAAAGGGCAAGGGCAATGCAAGGTTTGTCACTATTCACATGAATAGTGGCAGCCCTTGCCTTTTTTGTTTCACCCCAAAGGGCAAGGGTAAGGGCAATTACTATTCACTTTAATTTATTTTCTATTTTTTATACTTAAACCATTAATTTTGATAAGCTTTTCGGATAAGATTTTCGGTTGCCACATGTCACTATTTATTAGAAAATTCTCACCTAAATTTCAAATAACATTTTCGGATAAAATTTTTGAATTAAATTTTCGGATAAGATTTTCAGTTGCCACGTGTCTATATTTTGTTATGACATTCAGATCTCAAATTTCAGATAAGATTTTAGGTTACCACGTGTCGATATTTATTATAAAATTCTAATCTCATATTTTAGATAAGATTTGCACCCTCTAAAATTGTGCCACGTGTCTTTTCTATCTTCTAAAATCTCTCTATAAAACTACACCATCAACTCAGACCGCTCACACCATATCTTCTCTATCCTTTCATTTCTCTGATTTTACAAAACACATTCTACTCTCAATGTTTAACTTGAGGAGGGTGTTGGAGAGGCAACAACGAGAAGATGAAGAAATCAGGCGCAGACATGTTGAAGAAGATCGTGAATTGGATGAAGAGGAGGAAGAAGTTGTTTTATGGGTATGCTTAACCAATCAAGGCAACGCCACCATCGTCGTACCCCAAACGTGGACAGACATAGGCACTTTCGGGGTAAGAATCTCTTGGAAGATTACTTTATCCCAAATTTGTTATATCATGTTTCTTATTTTTTAGGGAGATATAGAATGCAGCCCTATTTGTTCCAAAAAATCATGCATGATGTTTGCAATTACGACATATACTTCGTTCAAAAGTACGATGCTCTTGGGATTTTGGGAATTCTTCCGGAGCAAAAACTTACAATTGCTTTGAGGATGCTTGAGCATGGGGCATCTGTAGACCAGGTGGATGAGATTGCTAGGATGAGGAAATCAACTATCTTAGAGTGCTTGGTTAGATTTTGTAATGCAATAGAAAATCTCTACACGAGGGATTACCTCCATAAACCTACGCCTAGGGACCTCCGAAGGCTTCTACAAAAAGTTGAGGCTCGAGGTTTCCCAGACATGATTGGAAGCATTGACTGCATGCACCGGCAGTAGAAGAATTGTCCAATCACCTGGCAATGAGCTTATGGGAATAGGAAGGGCCAAAAAAGTATAATTCTGGAGATCGTTGTATCATTCGATACTTAGGTTTGACATGCCTTTTTCGGAGTTGCCGGATCTCTAAACGACCTCAATGTGCATGGTCAATCCTCGATATTCAATGATGCCTTGAGAGGTCATTCCTCCCAGATCACGTATCAAATCAACAGTATCGTACACTTGGGTACATACTACCTAGCTGACAGAATTTATTCGAGGTGGATGACATTCGTCAAAACAATTTCAAATCCCCAATTAGAGAAGGAAAAAAGCTTTGCTTCCTTTAAAGAGGGTTATAGGAAAGACGTGGAAAGGTGTTTGATATCCTGCAAGTTTGTTGGACAATTATTAGGGGTGCTACTCGTATGTTTGATGAGAAGGTGCTTCGGAGCAATATGATGACTTGCATCATCCTCCATAACATGATTGTGGATGATGAGTATGATGCCCCAGAGATGTTTGAACCCGATCCCATGAACATGGCATTGACAAGAATTTATGAACGGCACGTGAGAGCAAATGGACAACCACTGGAGCACGAACCGTTGATTAGGGACGGTCGATAAAACAACCTTATGATTGACCCTTATCAGGAAATGCAATCTTCTTATGTTCACGAGAGATGTCAACGGCAATCACAGTGGATGAAGTCAAGAATACTGCTTTGTTTGGAATTATGCTTTATTTTATGTGTGGTTTGTTTGGAATTATGCTTTGTTTTGTGTGTGGTTTGTAATGAATTAAGGTTTGTTTTGATGTATGAAATGTTTTTAATAAATAGCTATATTATTTAATGCTTTCTTTATTCAATAAAAGAGAAACAATACAACAAATTAATACATATGACAACTCTTTCAATACAACTTAATGGTTTTGATCATTTAACCAATCCTTGTTGCTAGGTCCATTGTCATGGAAAAGTTTTTTGGTCATAACATCCATTCGTTTTAGCTTCCAATAGGACTTTGTTTCAGGAGACATATGGCTCATATCCAAGGCCATGATTTTCATCTCTCTATCCTCCATGCCTTGTTCTTATGCATGCTGCCTTTCAATTGCATATGCTTCATATCGTGCCTTGTCAGCTTCTTCTCTTTTCAAGTCTCTATCAATTCTCAGTGCGCCATTCTTAGCAATTTGCTCAAATTTTTTTGCACATTCAATATTCGAAGTGCTCCCTCTCTTGGTCTTTGCCACCTTTCTCCCAATAGGTCTCGGCTTACGTTGGATTGGTGAGTCTTGATCCACTGGGAGTCCAATAGCGAATCGATTGCCAGTGAATTGTGGATTGGCGTCTCATTCAATACAAACGTCGGACCAGTGGGAATAATTTTGAATATCGAACAATTCTTCACAACGTCCCAACATTGGTGATTGATGAAACTTTTTTTGCCTTGGCCAATGACACCAAACCACATTTGTGCTTGAATAATCCATTAAAAGTAATAATATGAAATGCAAGAAAATATATGTAAAAGATTGGAAATGCAAGAAAAGATAAAATAAAAAAAGTGGAAATGCAAGAAAAGATAAATAAAAAAATGTGACATTAAATTGAATAAAACGGCATTTATAAAAATTTTACCTCGTCTGTAAGATTCTGACTGCTTCGAATGTTGTCCCTCACTTTTGCCAACACATCTCTCCATTTTTCTAACTCTTTATTCAAAATTTTCCACTTATTAGCCAATGCCATTTCCATACGAGCCAAACCCAATCTTTCACAAAATTCTCTATGAATTTTTCTCCACATATGAGAGAACTTCATCTCATTGCCTGTGATTGGGCAATGACCAACTTTGACCCAATGCTCACAGAACAAAATATCTTCCATGGTTGTCCACGCGCCTCCAGTTTCGATAGAAGAGGCCATTTGTATTTTTACACAAATGGAATTTAGTAGTAGAAAATTTTGTATGGAAAGTGAAAAATATTTGAAGAGAAGAATTTGTATGAAGATTTGGTATGGAAAGTGAATTATATTGGTAGGTATTTATATAAAAAAAAATTAGAATTTTTTAGCCAAAAAATTCGCACCCGTTGGATTTATCAGAAATCCATGATCGGACCGTATGGGAAGCGCCACATGGCTTCTTCCAGTTGGTTTATGTTAGCGTTGATGTCACGCTGATGTCAGCTTTTATATCACAGTTGACGTTAGTAGACTTCACGCCACAGCCCAAACGATTTTTGCTCGGGTTGGACCTTGCGCGTTGGAGGCATTTTTTGGGCTGGGGCCCCTTTTTGCCTGCCCTCCCCCCTTGCAGTGGAAGTGCTCTAATTATCGGTACAAGGTTTAGGCTCACATTGTTGGTAAATTAGTCTAACAATGTTTGTAAGTTAAGCCTAACTTTTGTAGGTTGTTTGGACACATTGATGTGGAAAGGTACTCAATTAACTTTGCACAATTAGCAACTAATTTACCTAACATTGCACGTTAACATAATTACACAAGTAGTTAACTAAGTTCCTTGTCACGAGCTCCTCAGCCACAGGTTTCTGAAACAGCTATGTTGATATCCATGCACCCTCCTCTTCAAGGTGTAAATTAACTTTGCCCATTGATTGATATTTTGCGTCTCATTTATCCTTATCATCAAGTCCGTTAAAAAAAAATTATTTAAAAAGCTAACATGACACGATTGTGATTCATTATTTTGCTTAAATGGATGCCATGTGTGAAAAATAATAACAAAACATTTTCTTGTAAAAAGCATAGGTAAAAGAATCCACATCATCGCCTAAAGAGCAATCAATTTCTTTTTTTTACCAATTTGTATCCTAATAGTGATATAGCAAGGATGGTGCATCCTCCGACAGCGAAAACAGCTGCTACAACTGCAAGTAAAATTATCTCAGCACATGACATTTTCGCCTTCTCCGATTTGGGTGAAGTTGTTGGTGGTTCTGTGTGACTAGTATTTGTCAAACCCTCATTTCCACTTATGTTGACGATGACCCGAGAATCAAATTCTGGAATTTCTCCAGAGAGCTGATTGTTGGAAAGTAACAACTGCGTCAAGGCTCCCAACTGCCTAAAAAATGCGGGTATCTCACCTGAGAATTTGTTATTTGAGAGATCCAGAATTTCTAATCCCGTGAGCCTGGCAAGAGTTACCGGAATATGTCCTTCAAAAAGATTGCTGCTGAGATTCAAAGCAATCTGCAGAGTAGTTGGCATGCTTGGAATGTCACCGCTCAAGTGATTTTCTCCAAGTTGGAGTTCCATCAGAGAAGTCATGGAGCCAATATTTTCCGGTATCGAACCACTGAGATTGTTGCCTTGTAAATTCATGTTAATGAGATTCTTCAAGCTTGCAACCGAAGGTGGTATCGAACCATTCAGAGAATTCCAGCTGATATTCAGAATCGACAACTTCGACATTTGAGCAATTTGAATTGGGATTTGTCCAGTCAAAAGGTTAAGTTCAAGTTTCAAGACTTGAAGATGGCTAAGCTTACCCAACTCCATTGGCAGAGACCCGGAGAGCTGATTCCCAGCCAAATTCAACAGCATCAAATTCTGGCAAAAACCCAATTCAGGAGAAATCAATCCGGTCAATGCATTGTTTTCCAGCTCCAAGTAAGTTAAGTTTTGGAGTGTCGCAATGGCCGCAGTTGGAATTACATAATCAAGTTAATTGCTTCCCAATCTCAATCTGACCAAGCTCGGAGAAAGAGCTGTAGGTATCGATCCGCTTAATCCATTGTTAGACAAATCCACAGTCTGCAGATTCAATGGGGACAAAAGATCCGATGAAATCGAACCACTTAAGCTATTGTAGCTTAGGTCCAAATTTCTCAGATGTTTTGTAATTCCTGCAGGAATTGCACCGTTGAATTTGTTAGAATTTGCAGCAAAACGGGTAAGGCTTGTGATATTCGAAAGGCTTTGTGGGATTCCAGATAAACTATTGGACGACAGAATCAAAACCTCAAGTTTGGAGAGCTCTCCAATTCTGTCAGGAACAGACCCAGAAATATTATTTGAGCTAAAATCAATCAGAGTCAAATTGCGGTAACCCACAATATCAATAGGGATTATGCCATGAAACTTATTCATAGAAAGCTGAAGCACCTTCAAGACCTTGGATTTTCCAAGACGGGTAGGAACAGAGCCAGTGAAATGGTTCACGCTAAGGTTCAAGCTTTTGAGCCCAACTAACCCATCTAACTCTAAATCAATGGCTCCACTCAACCTATTATGAGACAAGTCTAAGAACTCCAACCCAGCAAAACCAACAAATACAGGCAAAGAACCCTCCAAATTGTTATAGCTAAAATTGAGTAGCTTTAGCCCATCAAGTTCTCCACAATCTGAGAGAAACCCAGATGGGATTTTGCTCAGAAGATTGCCTGAAACATCAAGAATCTGCAAAGACTCAATCTGGCAAACAAGGGGCAGAAAATCTGAGGAAGATAGAGAAACCCCAGATAAGGAAATTTGGATAACAGATGAATTGGAAGGGGCCTTGCAGCTAACTCCTTTCCATAAACATGGGTTTGGCTCTTTGTTGATATCCCATGAAATACTAGTGACATTTAGACTCTTGGAGAGATTGATCATAGTGGTTTGTTGGTTTGAGGATAGTTCAGACAAAACCATAGGATAAAAAGAGAAAGAGAAGGAAAAGAAGAAGAAGAACAAGTACCTGGCCATTTCAGCTGTGCGTCAGACCTTGGACTAAATTTGTAAGCAATTGAAAACTGAGTTTTAGAAACACAGAGAGGGTTTAAGGAAAACAACATATTGCTGGGGTTTATGGCCGTTTTGGGGAATGGAAATTTGGAGAAGAAAAAGAGAGGAAACTCTCAGTTACTTTACTGTAAAGAGGACGAGGACTGAGAGCTGAGACTAAACAAAAGTCTGAGTGGGTCGTCGTCTTCTCCATTTTTTCCCCCTCAACACGGGTGTTGACCAGCTTGGTCAAAAAACACGCAAATGGAAACGACTTGGAAAATTTGTAACCCAAGCAGGTCTGCTAGTATCTGAGAGGACTTGTTTAAAAACTTTAATAGTCATACGTAGGGATGGGCATCTTAAATCGAAATACCGAAATACCAAAATTATACTCTAACCGCACTGTACCATATCAATTTCATACCGTTTCATTTGGTATGAAGAGATATTCGGTATCGTACTGTACCGTACCAATAGAATATGGTATGGTAACGGTATCAAGATTTTGGTACCGGTCAATATCGTACCATACCGAATAGTATAACTTTATGTTTTTGTTTGGATTGTGTTTGTATTTTTGTAAGCCATAAAGCATAATTTTAACTATTTTGGTTTGTAAGTCATAAGGCATGAGTTTTAACTATTTGGATGTGATAAATATGTTGATGGATAAATATTGATTTGGTTGATTTAGATATTGAATATATTGATTAGGATTTGGTTATTGAATATGTTGATGGATATTGAATATATTGATTAGGATTTGGATATTGAATATGTTGAATCTTTGAATTTGTAACTTAGGCATCACTTATTTTGGTGTTGAATATTGAATTGGTTCATTTTTTAGTTGTATCATTTTGGTACCAAAATGATACTGATACCGTACCGAAACCAATTTGGCACGGTACGATACGGTACCAATTTTGGCAAACCATAATCTCATACCGTACCATACCGATTTAAATTTCCGATATCGATAGCGGTACGGGCTCAATACCATCTCATACCGTACCGTGTCCACCCCTAGTCATACGTAGCTTTTGAATATTATTATTATTATTTTTTTTAAAGGGAGCTTTTGGAAAAGGCCAAAGAGAGAGAGAATATTTAAAAAAGAAGCTTCAATGGACAAAAATGCCCTTATTTATTTTTAGATTTCTTAAGGAATTACATTTGTATGTCTTTGGTTTGAAAGTTTAGAGATTTTTTTGTATTTTTTGAAAAAGTTTTGACTTTTTCTAAAAGTGAAATTTTTGTTGTTGCTAAAACCTAAATTTACTATAAAGGGAACTTGCCTACTTAGCATAAGAAGTACTCTTTAGTCTTTACATGGAAATCCAAAGTTGACATGTATCTGTTTTCTGTTTTTGTTATTTTGAACAAATAAAAAATTTTACAATGAAGATCGTCGAGGGATCTTTATACCATATAAATTAAAGTATAATCTAAATATCATTCTTTTAGGAAAATGACATGGATTTATACATGTATGCCATATTTTGCTAGAATATCTGCCATTTGATTTGTTTCCCAACATGCATGATACAAGGATGATGATTTAAAATTTTAAAGCGGCTTTCAAATATCTTAAACAAGTATACAAAACGTTCAAGGAGTGACATGTATCTGTTTCTGTTTTTTGCTTTGAATTCATTTCTCTTTGTAAGAAAGCACAGATGGAATTGGAATTTGAACACCTCAACCCAAAAGAGGATTTACAAGCTGCCAAACAAAATTGTTGTTTTGCAGAGGTCAAGTAGAAACCAAAACTCATCTATCCTTTTGGTTTGGGCATGTAAGCCTTTCTTTCTATGCTCAGACACATGCACAAAGACACCTGTTTGGTATCAAAGATTGAACCTAGCAAAATTCATCATCCAACCTAACTGGCACTGACATTTTCTATCCTTAAGAACTGCAATAAAAATTAAGCTTCCTTAATCTATCAAAACCATGGCTTCTTCATCATCTTCTTCATCTTCTTTGCTGCTCTTTCTCTCTCTACTTCTCCATCTACCTTATATAACTTCTTCCAATACTATCACCATACCCATCTCACATTTACCCAAAAACCCGCATCCAGATCCTTACCAGCACCTCAGCTACTTAGCAAATTCCTCTTTAAAAAGAGCCCACCACCTCAAAAATCCCCAAACTACCCCTCCCCATACCAACACCAAAACCCCACTCTTCTCCAACAGCTATGGAGGCTACTCCATACCCCTGAGCTTTGGCACCCCTCCCCAAACCCTCCCCTTCATCATGGACACTGGCAGTGATTTAATTTGGTTCCCTTGCAGCAAAAACTATCAGTGCATCAATTGCTCCACTTACCACAACAACACTGCCAAAATCAAATCTTTTATTCCCAACTTGTCGTCATCTTCCAAACTCCTTGCCTGCTTGAACCCCAAATGCGCTGCTTCACCAAAAAATTCACTGCCCAGATTGCAAACTCGGTTCGAAAAACTGTACCCGGGGCTGCCCTTTGTACAGAATCGTCTACGGCTCTGGCACAACAATTGGAATTCCACTCTCTGAAACGCTGCACCTCCCGACCCGACGCGTACCCGATTTCCTTGTGGGCTGCTCCGTTCGCTCTACCCACCAACCCGCCGCTGGCATTGCCGGGTTGGGCCGCGGCCCAGCTTCTCTCCCTTCCCAATTGGCCGTCAAAAAATTCTCCTACTGCCTTCTCTCTCGCCTCTTCGACGACACTAACAAAAGCAGCTCACTGGTCCTCGTCGGCGGCAAAGACTCCGTCGAGAAAACTAAAGGCGTCAGCTACACGCCGTTTGTGAAAAACCCAGAAGTCCCCAAGAAGCCTTTCTCCACCTATTACTACGTCGGCCTCCGCCGCATCAATGTGGGAGGGCGGCGCGTGAAGATTCCGTACATATACCTGAGGCCTGACAAGAACGGCTCCGGCGGGACCATGGTCGATTCCGGGACCACCTTCACGCTGACGGCGCATGAGGTGTTCGAGCGCGTGACGGGAGAGTTGGAGAAGCAGATGAAGGGCTACAAGAGGGGGGAGGAAGCGGAGACTTTGACTACGTTGAGGCCGTGCTATAATTTTTCCGGGATCGAAACGCCGGAGTTTCCAAGCGTGACGTTCCACTTCAAGGGAGGGGCTGAGATGGCACTGCCGTTGGAGAATTACGTGGCCCCGGCCGGTGGGAAGGTGCTGTGCTTCACGATTCTGAGTGATAATGGGCCTATAATCTCGTCTGGGCCTTCTATTATTCTGGGGAGTTTCCAAATGCAGAATTATCATGTGGAGTATGATTTGCAGAATGAGAGGTTTGGGTTCAAGCAACAGGAATGCAACTGATGTCTTTTCTTCTTTCTTTTTTTTTTCTTTTTTTTTCTATCAAAGAATAAATCTGTGTAAAATGAGAGAATCAAACCCGCCTAGTTCATGAGTACATGAAAATAAAAATGATGCGCTTGTGAAGAGGAGAATATCACTGTTGCCGTATGATATCATCAACATCTGGGTGAAAGCATGGAGGCAGGGGCGGATCTTAAGCCAGGGCAGGGTAGGATACCACCTACCCAAAAATATTTCACTAAAAAAAAACCTACATATAAGCTATGTAATTGATATCCATTTCATGTGTTGGTATACACTCTTGTCTACCCAATCCATATAAAACCCACAGCATAAGCCCACTAAAACTTTAAAAAACTGAAGAAAAAAAATTATAACCAGCCAGCCCATGTTATGAATGGCCCAGTCAAATTTTAATAAAAGAAATAATATAATTTAAGCAGCCAAATAGTGGCTGTGCAGTGTAAAGAGCTTCTTCTCAACGCAAGTATTGGCTGTACAGTGCTGTGCAATCGTGGACACTGGACATCCTCTTCTCTTCTCATCTCATATACAAGGAAACAAGTATTCTTCTTAATCTCTTCTCTTTAATTATCTTCTTCTATTGGGTTATTCCTAAAATAAATGTATGCATTTTAGTTTTAATTTTAATTTGAAATTGATTGAGTTTTCTAGGGTTTAATTAGGAATGAAATATAATTTGGGGATTTTGTTGAAATTAATTAGGTCTTTGATTTTAAGAATTTTGTTGAGATGTTTGATTTGATGTTGGCATTGTTGATATGTTTGATTTGTTGTTGGTATGTTAATGTTTGACTAAATTCATTGATGCTATTATGAGAAATTGTTTGATTTTTTTGGGGAAAAGCTATTATGAGAAAAGCTGAACTCAAAGAGTTGTTAGATTCTGGGGGACTTGAGACAGGTAGAGGACTTAATCAAGGTCGTAGTTTGAAACGAGCTAAAGCCACTCGTTGGGGATCTCACTTTGCCTCTATTACAAGTTTAATGTGTTTATTTAAAGAGACTAAAATACTTCTTCAGGAAATCAGTGAACATGGACCTAACCAACAATTTCGCGGTGATGCAGAGAAAACTATATTGCTATAATGTCTTTTGAGTTTGTGTTTGCATTGCTTTTGATGGATAAAATTATGGGATTGACCAACTTTCTCTGTCAAGTGTTTCAGAAAAAAAAACTCAAGATATTGCAAGTGCTTTAAACTTTGTTGAAAACACAAAATCACAGTTCCAAGATATGAGGGCACATGGCTGGGATGATTTATTCATGAGTGTGGTATCCTTTTGTGAACAACATGGTATTGATGTTCCTGATATGAGTTCTCGTTATATGATAGGCACAAGTCGTTCTTGTCAACAAAAAGATTTTATTACAGTTGAACATTACTATCGCATTGATGTATTTAATGATGTGATAGATTGCATGTTAAGAGAGTTAAATGACAGATTTCCCGAGCAAATAGTTGAACTTCTTATTCTTAGCTCAGCATTGGATCTTCGTAATTCCTTCAAATCATTCAATATTGGGCATC